CTTAGCAAACACAAATCCCTGAAGTCTGAGCAGAGCTGTTCCTTCACCAGGGCAAAGAACCCAAGAGGCTGTGAACTCCTTCACCGTTACTTCATTAATTCAAAATCATCCTGAGTGAAGGACATTATGAAACAGCACTAAGCCACTTGTACCAATAAAATGCAGAAAAATTGAGATGTAGAGAAATATCTGCCTTTGTTGTAATGCATGACTTGGAATCACCATTATAAAACCCATTGTATGTGGATAAATAGACATGAGAGAGAGAGATATGGATATATGGTGCTCATTGCTTAAATTCTACAGTGTCCAATGTGAAATACGTGTATGTGACCTAGACACTTTGTGAACTTCATGCTCAGCAGACAGACACACCTAAATCACAAGCAACAACATTCACTATTTTTATTACCTTTGTGTTGTTCAGTAACCTTGTGTTTTCACTCCCAAGTTGATGCTTCTGCTTTGCGTCCAGCTGCTGCCTCCACCCGCAATAGTTTTACTGCATTTGGAAGCCATGCTACACTTCAAGGTAATATTTTGAGAGAAAAATAAACAGAAAGATAATGCTGGAACCCTTAAGCGACACACAATGCTACTGCCTTCAAGGTGAAATATACGCTGTCAGATAGGAAACTTGTATTTATAAGAAAGGGATGTTGGTATAATAAGGTAGAAAATTCTGGACAGAACATACATGTGCCAGCAGCAGAGGTGTTTACTGTGATTACTGAGCCATATATGCATGGTAGGCAATGCATACACTGTTTCATATGCCTGACATAGTACATTCACTTCATGTAGAAGACCCATGAGATGTGCTGCATGTGGCTGCTGTTGTGTTTAATATATCAAGTTACATTCACTGTTCCCTGTTCTCTGGCTTGGATTTTTTGACCCTGGTCTGGTGTCTGAGTCCTTTGAAAGCTGCATTCCTTTCCTGAAGGCCACACCTTGCTGGTTTTTCAAACCTACTGGTCAGTTCAAGAGAGAAAAAGAAGTAGTCTCCTCTCAAGTGATTTACAGTCCCGGAAACCCAATGGAGGGTCGCCTATGAATTGGTCTGACTTGACAGCAATGACTTTGATTTTTTATATTCTAGCCTTATGGGTCTACAGAGAAATATGTGACTGAATAATGTGTGTTTCCTTTTCCTCAGTAGTATGTGTACATTTTAGAGTTCTTCTTGCAATTATTCACAGTCCAACCAGTGTTGTCTAAACTTGGCAAAGGCTTTCAAATGACTTGCATACATGGATCACGTCAAACTTCCATCTCAATGTAATGGTGCCCACCCAATCTCTGTTCCCATCACAGCTAGGTCTTCTGTTCCCAAGTCACCCCAAACAGCCTTTCCTTTATCCCGTCACTTCCCATCTTGGCTAAAGATACTTGCTTTTTATCTTCTGCAGAGGGTCAAGGACTGCAGCTTACAATATGGATTGAGGCTCAATGTCAAGAAGACAAAGATTCTCACCACTGGACCAATTGGCAGCATCAGGATGGATGGTGAAGAGACTGAGATTGTACACAGCTTTAGTTTGCTTGGCTCTGTAGTCAACAGTCTTGGCACCAGCAG